TATTAGCCATTTGGCGATTTTCTCTCACAAATCTCACAATTTACTCGCATGCTATAAACTGAACTGCTTCTGCATCAATGACACGATTTTGGTCTAGAATCGAAGTACTACATGTCTGCCATCTAGTGGTAGGGAATACAAATTAGATATTACACCATATTAGGAACTACAGTCTATTTTATTAAGTATGACGTCTTGTCGCAATTTTGCGACTTTGGCGCTTAGAGGGTTAACTACTGGTGTACCTCAGGGTCTGGTTCTTGGCCCCCTCCACTTCTTGATATACACAACTACACTGGCACCTATCATCCAGGTAGATTTTTTTCCTCATAACATAAAGACATGCAGACATGCAGTCTTATGATCACAAAGTGACTGCATCTTTACTTGCCTCAGCCTGGATTCAACTACACCATCTTCAACTAGTGCTCCAACTACACCAACTCCAGCTGAAGACTGAGCTTCTGGTCTTCCTGGCAAGTCCAGTGCAACACCATCATTATTCATCTAGGCTCATCAACAATATGAGGTAGCTTTACTACAAAAGGAAGATCAGACCCTTCCTATCTGAAGATCCTACCCTTTCTATGCAGCGGTGCATTTGAAGTTCAGTGAACCAAAGAGAGAGACTGCATGTTACACCTCGTCTCACTACATGGGATACCATTCTCTGTCTGCATCAAGTCAAGGCTCGGCTGCATAGCTACTAACTTGTATATTTCTGAGCAAGTTTAGAACACAGCAAGAATTACAGCACATCATGTTGTCTCATCAGGGTTAATGTTGTTGTGTACTGGCTGTATATTTGGAAATGTAATACTTTACCTCCATATCCAGTTCCTATTCCAACTCCACCTGGGACTCCACCAGCTCCACCCAAACCTGATGACAACAATGACACAAGGAAGGACATATTATCATAACTTGTATATTCTGGAGCGATGGAATATCATTAAACGTTGCAGGGCATTAAAGTGCCACATGTTTTGGTAAAAGTAGACAAGAGTGAAAATGAAAACATGTTCAGCAAAATTATCTGATTTCATATTTTAAACAGTCACAGACTCTTCAAAAGAGGTCCATTCTCTAACTGGCAAACTAAATCTCAAGTCTATGTAATTGCTCCTTAGAACTTGCATGTCTACCCATTTTTACTAGTCAGCCGACAAAGGTAGTCAACAAACCATCTTACACGTCTGCAGTGGAACTATAGTTTGCTTATACTGCTTCGGTTTCACCTTATTTCCACTTTATGTAATTCCTAATGTCTAATTTGCTGATTACAAATCACAAACATTCCACAGAACTAAACAAATAATGCTGATTTGCACACCTGTATAGTTTAGGAGGTTCATTTGTTACACCTGAACCTAATAATCAGGGGACTTTTTTTTTTTTTTATACCTTATTTAGGGGTCCGGCCCCAGTTCTATTCCCATAGACTACAAAACAAAAAGTGGTGCCAGTTCTTTCACAGCAGCAAGCTTATTTTGAGTAAAGCAACATATTAATAAGACAAACATGCTTGGTCAATTTTTCAGTCCATTGAACACGAGCTACATTTTTAAACATTTTCAAACATTTTTAAACATTCAAGAACAATCTGTTTCAAGGAACATGTTTACAGTACACAAATTGATTTATGTCTTTAAAGCCAGCCAAAAGTAATTTAACAGGCTTTTTGATTTGGGGTTGCAACAGACTCTTCAAATATTAAATAGAAAAATGTTTGTACATGGCTAGGCAAAATCAAAAACAGTGTAAACCAGAGAAAATTACTGAAGAAAAAAAAAGAAAGAAATCCAAGCAGTTTCTAAATGAAAACATTGATTACCTAAATTCAAACTCAATGTCTTTTGTTTTTTGCTTTAATAAGCATATTTACTCACAATATAAAGAGCTGTTATAGTCATTATAGCTCTGCTCATTGAAAGGCATTTTTGCTTACCTATTCCAGGCACAACACCAGTCCCACCTGGTAAACCACCACCAGCACCCAAACCTGGACAAATAATTTTTATTTAGAGCAGTAAATTCAATGTTACTAAGATCTAGCTTATATATATCTTGCTTATATCTATATATCTCTATATAATCAATGAATACAAATACCATATTTTAGAGCCTTGGCACCAGCAGGGTATCCTTAAACACAGAAATATGAACAGTTGAGCAAAAAACAAAACAAAACAAAAAAACATGCTGAGGTCCATGCATTTTAATCCAAAATTTCAAAAAGAGGTTTAAAAGAATTAACATTTCTAACATGTCATATAATATTTTGCCTTTTACATTTCATCATGCTTGTATGCAGAATGAATGAATGAATGATGAATGAATTATGTATTTATATAGCGCTTCATTGTGCATTGCTGTACACCCAAAGTGCTTAACAATCATGTGGGGGGATCTCTCCTCAACCACCACCAGAGTGCAGCATCCACCTGGATCCAGCCACAGCACACCAGCTACAGGTGGAGAGGAGAGAGAGTCATAGAGCCAATCAAGTGGATGGGGATTATTAGGAGGCCATGATTGACAAAGGCCAGGGGGGCAATTTGGCCAGGACACCGGGGTTACACCCCTACTCTTTACCAGAAGTGCCATGGGATTTTTAACGACCACAGAGAGTCAGGACCTCGGTTTAACGTCTCATCTGAAGGACGGTGCTTTTTGACAGTATAGTGTCCCCATCACTAAACTGGGGCGTTATGACCCACACAGACCACAGGGTGAGCACCCCCTGCTGGCCTCACTAACACCTCTTCCAACAGCAACCTAGTTTTTCCCAGCAGTCTCCCATCCAGGTACTAGCCAGGCTCAACACCTGCTTAGCTTCAGTGGGCAACCAGTCTTGGGCTGCAGGGTGATATGGCTGTGGATGTAACAGTGATGTAACAGAATGAAACAGTGATACCTCCTGCTCCAGTTATTGGTACTCCTCCTGGTACTCCTCCGGGGACCCCCAAACCTGTTCCTCCAGGCACTCCTGAGGCCACAATAGCTTAATTTTTGACTGGACAATACCCTACCAACAATCCTTTATTTAAGTACAGCTTAACAAGTCAAATGTTTTTTTTATTATAATGTCAACACAAAGCTCTATTACAAAATCCCAGTGCAAATGGCAAAATAAAAAGCACAAACAATTGGATGTATCTTACATAGCATTACCAATGCACCTAAATCATAGAAAATAGTCAGACCCATACCATATTTAGGAGGTTTGGCGCCAGCTCCTAACCCTAAAAACATTTATCACTATTACTAAACATCAACCCAAAATAAACTATAATGAGAAACAAACTTAGCTTAATTGACAAACAACAGTTGTGAGAAATTGAGAGACAGTTGAACATATTCAGACCTCCAGCCCCAGGCACAGCTCCAGGAACTCCTCCGAACCCAGCAACAGAACCGTAGCCTGGGACAACACCGGCCCCTCTTGCTCCTCCTACAGACATGACATGTGCAGCCATGCAGTGTCAATTTATTTGATTTTATTATAACATACAAGATGTTCAGTAAAAGTGATCTGAAAGTGCTATTTTAGAATTATAACACTTTCTACCTAACTATCTCAAGTACTCCACTTGTACTGACTACTTTTTGAAAGTTATACTTTCCTTATCTTACTCACTCTTTGAAAAATACCATGGCAAACTATGTTTTTTCATATATATAACATTAATGAACATGCTAGCAAGACTAAAACACTAGCAGCTTGCAGCACCAAGTTCCTGCTATTGTCCAGGCTCCCCAGCCTACTCAAACCTGTCCTGTGCATGCAGTGTCTGAATCAAAAAGTCATGCACCTATAAACCATAACTGGAAGAGAATTGCAAGCAAAGGTGTTAAACTGTTTTTTTCCCTCTTTTTTTTCGTGTTCGTCCGCACTACATTATTAAATCCCATTTACACTTGAAAGATGTGTAAAAGCTCTTACCATATTTAGGAGGCTTCACTCTACCTGGATACACTAAAACATAATTTGTAAAGTAATTTCTATAATTATTATTTCATGAACTTTGTCCAAAAGATTAACACTTCATTATTAGCAACATTTTCACATTATAACATGAACTGTAGGTTTCATCAGATGCAATATTAATGTAGTGTAAAACTCACCTCCAGCCCCTGGTGCTGTTCCAGGAATTCCCCCGGCTCCCCCCACTACTCCACCAACTGGTGCACCTTTTCAAAACATTTTAATAAAATAAGCAGCAAACCAATCTACTACTTTGAAAAATGCCCCTGGGATATTAAAATCCATTCAGTCACTTCTGAGTGACTTGATCTTGTAATATGTATGTATGTATGTATAGTGGCCAATTTTGGAACCAAGAAGCACCATCATAGGCAGAAGAGACTGCATGACCAAAATGTAAAACTGATGTTTAGGGGCATGTACATGTGAAATCAGATACATCTGAAATCTGAAGACAAAGCACAGTGTACAGTTGTACTCATGAGCCTCTTTTCCACTGTCGGGTCAGTGCGAGCCAGGGCTAACAGTGTGCCGGGCGGGGCCAATGGCCTCGAGCCGCAAGCACCAAGGCCAAAAGCAAGCTGTGTTTCCACTGTCGAGCCAGTAGCCCCGCAGCGCAAACCTAAAGCCTTTACACACCTCCTTGGATCAAACGTCACAAAACCCCTCCCCTTTCAGCGGGAAGAATGAAAGTTATTCATGTAGGGCACTATAGCGTCATCATCGAACGAACAACATGGAGAGAACCGAAGCAGCTGTTTGTTTGCTCCTTTAGGTGTTTTCTTGGTCGAAGATGAGGCAGCGAAGCCAAGATGCGAAGATGGAGGCTCAGACATGGAAATGGTAAATGTTGTTCAATTACAAAATATAGTTAATTATTGTTATCTTATATTTGGTGCGACCCTAACCTGATAACATATAACTTAGCCCTATGAGATATAAGTAACATACGGAGTTGTTTTGATTATTGTTCTTTAACGTAAGCTTAAGCACTTTACTGCTCAAAAACAGATGTTTTGCTAGCATGACATCACATAATTAGAGAAGTAATGTTAGCCATTCATTGAACTATTCTTCGGATAGTACATCTGTTTATACATATATGTTTAAACATTTATGTTAATATAGCTCTTTATGATAATTAGGGCAGTAAAGCATACCTTTCATTGTAGTATTTTTCTGATGATTCAGTACATCTATTTATACATGTGTATGTTAATATACAGATATTTAACATGACTAGGGAAGTATTGTTTACCTTTTATATTATTATCTTGCAAATGATGGCTCTATGTATATGTTTTGACATTTATATTCATATGTAGATCTATAACAACTAGATAATTAATGTTTACCTTTCATTCTATTATTTTTCAGATGATGCATCACTACTACACCAATATAATGCGGACCTCAGAGGTGTGGGCCTGTCACCGAACAAGTGACTGGTGGGAGATCACTGCTCAAAGATTCACAGATGAGCAGTGGCTAGAGGACTTCAGAGTTTACAGAGAAACATTCAAATACATTTGTACAACTCTGAAGCCGCACTACAGCGACAAGACACATCATACCGGTTATGCATTCCTCTGGAGAAACGGGTAGCCATTGCATTGTATAAACTTGCTTCAACCATGGAGTACAGGACAGTCGCTAACCTGTTTGCTGTCAGTCGGACCTCTGTTTGCCACTGTGTGCATGACTTTTGCAAGGCTGTGATTGCAATACTTCGCCCAAAATGTATCAAAACACCTGATCAAGCCCAACTGTCTGCGATAGCAGATTATTTTGAGAAGAGGTTTGGAATTCCACTGTGCGTGGGTGCTATTGATGGTTCTCACGTCCCTATTTTGAAACCTCCACAATACCAATCTGATTTTCACAACAGAAAAGACTGGCACTCCCTCATTTTACAAGCAGTTGTAGATGGTAAAGGGATGTTCTGGGACCTGAATGTTGGACAGCCAGGAAGGGAACACGATGCTAGCGTCCTCAGAAAGTCACGCCTTTGGACTTGGGCCACAGACAGTAATGCCTTCTCTGGCAGAGTAAAAGATATTTGTGGAACTGATGTAGGCTACTTTATTCTTTGTGACTCTGCTTACCCATTGCAGAAATGGTTGTTAAAACCATATCCTGACACTGGCCGGCTTACAGAGGGTCAAGAACTATACAACGTGAGAACAAGTCGAGCCCGTTGCGTGGTTGAGCATGCATTTGGGAGGTTGATAGGATGGTGGAAGTGTCTCAGTAAAAGAAATGACTGCAATGTAAATGTTGTTGTTGATATGGTGGAGACATGTTGTACACTGCACAACCTGTGTGAATTATACATGGCTAGATTTGTGCCAGAGTGGGGTGGTGGCCGTGATGAAGATGCTGAATGCCCACCTTGTTATGTTGGTGATGTTCGTTCTGATGTAAGAAGCGCTCTGCTACAGTTGTTCATGCAACAGCAATATTTGTAAGACATCATTACATTGTGTGTACTACAAATAAATTACTTGAAAATAAGCTTTGGTTGTCTCTGTTTTTATGACCTACACACAAATCTTTCATCCAACAGGTATTACATCAAACAAAATCAGTTCAATAATACAATAATACACACTACATTGCCATCATACTATCTACAGACTATTGAAAAAAATAACTACACAGTTCTACTTCTAGTATAACTTTTTTATGTCTTTATTTAGGTACAAATGTGTGTGTTAACATGTTATTAAGGTTTGTCGGTTAGTGTTTGTTTTTTTTGACGATGTACAAAAAAAAGCAAGCGTGCTTTGAAAATGTGTATACACGACAAACAGGTGTTTGTGAAACATACTATTTATAAACAGATAATAATAAATAAAAATAATTTAAAAATAAGAAACTAAGACAGTGTGCTTTAAAGCAAACAGAAAAGCTGTAGTGTCCATCTACTTTCTCAGCTTCCTTCTTTCTCTGAGACATCTCTTCCCGTCTGAGTTGTGCCTCAAAATCCAGCTCCTCTCTTCTCGTCATCATTTCTTTGTTCATTTCTTCTCTTCTTAACTCAAGCTCTTCTTCCAGCTGTTGCTGTGTTATGTCGCGCATGCACTGCAAAAACTCCCTTGATACCAAATTAGCAGCTTTGCGTTTAAGACTTTCTAAAAAAAAACAAACAAAAAAAAAAAACATGAACAATAAGCTCCACATCTGGGATGTACTCTGAATTCAGGTATTGTGAGATCTGTAAGGTTTGATCCATCTATTTAGCAGGTACATTACACTCCAAATTACCTGGTCTGGTCCTTTGTGGAATGTGATGTGATCCCCCTCTGATTACTGTAATGTCTTGGGGACCGTTGTATCTTTGTAATAAACATACATTTAGGCATAATTATTTACTGACAACAAACATACAAATATGCAATAATTCTTTGGTGGAATCTGTTTATAGTAGCATACCAGGTGTAGATGTTAGCAGCGAAGATGTAGACGGTCCTTGCTCAACTTCAGACTCCAAGAAATCGCTCTGAGATTCCAATTCTAACACAAAAAAAAATACAAAATCAAAAATAAATACATAAATAAGTACACATGCATGTCAGTCACTAGCAACATTTTATCTGTTTTGCATGTTACGTTGGGTTGCTAGCAAGGTAAATTAACTCACCGACTGTTGTAGCTGCCAAAGTATCCCGAGTGGTCTCTCCACTAATGGAGGGATGGTGACCCAGCACACTGTCGTTAATGTCAAATCACGGAAAGGACCTTCTCTGGGCACCGCTTTGTCCATTGTGTGTTTTTATGGCTTTATACTGCACCCACAATTTCTTTAACTTATCTTGAACTTGCATCATAGTGCGCTGGATACTTAGCTTTGCGAGTTCAGCAATGATGTATTTTATTACGTCTTCAGGGCACCGCTTTGTCCATTGTGTGTTTTTATGGCTTTATACTGCACCCACAATTTCTTTCACTTATCTTGAACTTGCATCATAGTGCGCTGGATACTTAGCTTTGCGAGTTCAGCAATGATGTATTTTATTACGTCTTCGTTCCTGCAGACGCCATCAAACTGGCATTGTACATTGTCCTCTGCCCAAATGCTTAGAAGAGCCCTGGTATCTTCCACAGACCAGTACTGGCGATTCTCCATTTTCAGTTTAGTTCGAGTTCTTTGCACGACGTAATACAGCGAAATGCGCATCTTGCCGCAGACACTCTTACCTGACTACTCGCTTACCGGAGATAAACTCCGCCTTTCACCTTGACCACGCCTCAAGCCCCAGTTGGCCCGCTTTGGCCCAAGGTATTTGGCGGGCCAAAAAACCCTGGGCGTTGGCCCCCGAGGAAGCCCCGATGAGGCACGATCAAGCCACGGGAAGTGACAGTGGAAATGCGACTGGCCCAGGCACACACTACCACGCTCGCGTTTGGCCCAACAGTGGAAACGTGGCTATGGATATTTTGTGCAGTGGCTTTTAAGTGCCTCAAGTAGTGATTTGATCGTTTGTTCTCACTCACCTCCAGCTCCAGGGTACAGACCTCCAACACCAGTTCCAGCTGCCCCACCGAAATGTTGGGAATATTTAGCTGCTTTGGCTTGAGCGGGAGTAAGACCTTAGAAAAAAGAAATGGTTTTGAGACTCCATGATCATTATAATGTTTTAATGTTCTTCTAGATATTTTGTATAGACAGTTTTTTTAACCTCCCGTTGCAGGATAAACCCCTCCAGCTCCTGGCACAATCCCAGCACCACCAGGACGAATCCCAGCTCCACCAGGAACTACTCCTGCACCTGGAACAAGGCAGGGCCATGATCTCTCAGTTTGACATTTCCAATGTTATATGTCATGGTTCTTTATTCCTGCTCCTGGAGGACCACTGTAGTTCCAACCCTGCCTGTACTTTTCTAGCAATCGTAAAGACATTGACTGGCTTGTTTGGGTGTGTTTGATTGGGGTTTAAGCTACAGTACCTGGATTGAAACTCTGCAGGACAGTGGCCCCCCAGGAGCAGAAATTAGAACCATGGTATATCTGAATACGAAGGATCCTAAATATGGATACATGCTTACCATATTTAGCAGCTTTTGCCTGAGCAGGGGAGAGGGCACCAGGACCTTGACACATGGGAAAACACAAAACATTTATCAGTGGTGAATCATTCTAATAAAGTGACTGTCATTTAACTCTACTGCACACAACTTATCTCACCCCCTGCCCCAGGAAAGAGTCCACCTGCGCCTGGTACACCACCAATACCAGTAACACCAGGACCAGCACCTAGTGAAAGAAGGTTTGCTATCAGATTTAGATTATTGTTGACATTGTCAAAATCATACTCTAGATTTAATACTGTCACATGGAATTTATGTTAATGGGATTGAAATTCTGCAGCATAGCAGTAATGACTTTATGAACTACTTTACTTCCAAGATTGATACTATTTTAGATAAAATTTTAACCATGCAGCCATCAGCTACAGTATCGTATCAGACAGGGCACCATAGATCCCCTGAGGAACAATTCCACTCATTCTCTACAATAGGAGAGAAAGAATTGTATAAACTTGTTAAATCATCTAAACCAACAACATGTATGTTAGACCCTATTCTATCTAAGCTTCTAAAAGTGGTGCTTCAGGGTTCCTCAATAGGCGGCCCGCGGGCCACATCCGGCCCGTGAGAGAAAAAAGTTTGGCCCGCGATAATTTCAAATAATGTGGCATGAAAATTCAAACACAGCATCAGAAAGCTACATTAACTTACATCGTGTCTACACCGGACGCGAGCACCGCGGCGCGATGCAATAAAATACAATAGAACTCGTTATAATCACTGATGCTGTCTTAAATCCCCGACAGTAAACTGCTGACTCGTTGTATTTATAACGTACTGAAGTTTGGCCCGCAATAATTTCAAATAATGTGGCATGAAAATTCAAACACAGCATCAGAAAGCTACATTAACTTACATCATGTCTACACCGGACGCGAGCACCGCGGCGCGATGCAATAAAATACAATAGAACTCGTTATAATCACTGATGCTGTCTTAAATCCCCGAATATATATATATATATATATATATATATATATATATATATATACTGTATATAGGTCAGTGGCCCTTGGCTTGGTATTGTTGGCAGAATTCGGCCCTCAGCGAAAACTAATTGAGGAACCGTGCCATAGACCCTCTTCTAACTATTATAAATTCGTCATTGTCATTAAAATGTGTCCCAAATACCTTCAAACTTGCTGTTATTAAGCCTCTTATAAATAAAACACAACTTGACCCAAAATAATTAGTTAATTACAGACCGATCTCGAATCTCCCTTTTCTGTCAAAGATACTAGAAAAGGTAGTATCCTCACAACTATGTTCCTTCCTAGAGAAAAATGGTTTTCCAGTCCAGATTTAGACTGTATCATAGTACTGAGACTGCTCTCATTAGAGTTACAAATGACCTGCTCTTATCATCCAAATGTGGTTGTATCTCTCTTTTAGTGCTACTGGATCTTAGCGCTGCATTCGACACTATCGACCACAACATTCTTTTGCATAGACAAGAAAATTATGTTAGCATTAGTCGAAGTACATTGGCATGGTTCAAATCATGCTTATCTGACCATGATCAGTTTGTAGCAGTGAATGAAGAGGTATCATACCGATCACAAGTGCAGTATGGAGTACCTCAAGGCTCAGTACTAGGGCCATTACTCTTCACGCTTTACATGTTACCCTTGGGAGATATCATCAGGAAACATGGAGTTAGCTTTCACTGTTATGCTGATGATACTCAGCTCTATATTTCTTCGTGGCCTGACAAAACATATCAATTTGCAAAACTAACGGAATGCATAGTTGATATAAACAACTGGATGACTTGTAATTTCTTACTGCTAAATTCTGAAAAAATAAATTATCGGGCCAAAAACCCTGCATGTAATGTCCTAGAATACTGTCTAACACTTGATGGCTGCTCTGTTAATTCTTCATAATCAGTTAGGAACCTAGGTGTGCTATTTGATAGCAATATTTCCTTCAAAAGCCATTTTTTTAGCATTTGAAAAACTGCATTATTCCATCTCAAAAATATATCTAAATTACAACCTATTCTCTCAATGTCAAATGCAGAAATGTTAATCCATGCGTTTATGACCTCAAGGTTAGATTATTGTAATGCTTTATTGGGTGGGTGTTCTGCACGCTTAATAAACAAACACCAACTGGTCCAAAATGCAGCAGCTAGAGTTCTTACTAGAACCAGGAAGTATGACCATATTAGCCCGGTTCTGTCAACTCTGCACTGGTTCCCTATTAAACATTGTGTACATTTCAAAATCTTGCTAATTACTTATAAAGCCCTGAATGGTTTAACTCCTCAGTACTTGAGTGAGCTCTTATCGCACTATAGTCCTTCACATCCGCTGTGTTCTCAAAACTCTGGCCATTTGATAATACCTAGAATATCAAAATCAACTGTGGGCAGCAGAACCTTTTTCCTATTTAGCGCCCAAACTCGGGAACAATCTACCAAACATTGTTCGGGAGGCAGACACAGTCTGTCAGTTTAAATATGGTATCTACGCTAATATTAGTCTGTTTCATTCTTATTCTGAGGTCAACTTAGCCACCCAAATGCAGTCTGTATCCAGATCAGATGGTGGATCAGCACCTAGAGAGGACCTCTACAGCCCTGAATGTCAGCGGAGACCAGGACAACTAGATGAGCCCCAGAGACAGATCCCCAGTGAAGACCTTGTCTCCTAGACGGCAACCGGGACAAGACCACGGGAACCAGAAGACACCTCTGCACAGTCTGACTGGAATTAAACTGCTGGTTTTGTCTGGCCAGAGGAGAACTGGCCCCCGACTGAGCCTGGTTTCTCTCAAGGTTTTTTTCTCCATTTCTGTCACTGATGGAGTTTTGGTTCCTTGCCACTGTCGCCTCTGGCTTGCTTAGTTTGGGACACTTAACTTCGAGCAAAATTGTCAACTTGATTGCACATACTATTTAAACTGAACTGAGCTGGATGATCACTGAATCAATGATGAACTGACTTTAACAGAAATTGAGCGTTTACTGTTGTCCTTTTTTATTATTACACACTATTTTTCCAATTTTATACTGTAAAGTTGCTTTGACACAATCTGTATTGTTAAAAGCGCTATATAAATAAAGGTGACTTGACTTGACTATGTAATACAGTCAACAAGCCTGAATCGCCCATCAGTCAGTTATGAGCCCAATAATAAAGCAAGATAATCAGTCAGTGTACTCACCATATTTAGCTGCTTTAGCTTGAGCTGGGGTAAGAACACCCACACCTGCTCAGAGAGGACAGATCCAAATTTTGCTTCAAATTTAGGAAATAGAAAACATCAATAATATCACAGGCCATTGAATGCCACATCTCATGCCCCATGTGCATTGGCCTCAAACCTATTGCAACATGTCTTTGCATGCAATGTTTGATTGTACAATTGCTCTGGTAGCTCCTGTTATTCCTAAATTCCTTGTAGTTTCTAAGTTCCTATAGATTCTAAAAGGAAGCACACATATGGATAAAATGTATACAGTATATATTATATATAGTATACAGTATATATAGTGTCAGCACAATGAGTAAATGCAGGACAAATTAAAATTGGATTTAGATTTTGAAGCTTTTAACAAACAACATAAAGTGTGGTCTGTCCTCAACAACAACACTAATTGTTGTTTTTTGGAAAAAAACTGACATTTTTGTTCCTCACTTTGGAATGGCATACGCGTGAGTAAATGATTTCCTTTAAACAAACAAACAATGTCTGATTGCAGCTCCTAAACCATTCTTTAGCAAAATGATTTTTCACCTCCTGCCCCTGGGTAAACTCCACCAGCACCACCTGCTCCAACACCACCTAAACCAACTCCAACACCCAAGAAAATATGTAAACACTAAACTAGCCACTTGAGTAAATGACTTACATTTCAATATGGACAATTTTTTTATATATAAATGTTGATTGTGGTTTAAGGGGATTTCAGAGGAAAACGCATCCTTACCTCCTATACCAGGGTAAAGTCCACCAGCACCACCCGGAAAAGCTCCAGCCCCACCAAAACCAGCTCCAGTACCTGAAGAAATGGGCACAAACAGTGAATTTCTAATATTAGCTCTTGGAAAAAAAAAAACCCCACACAATTATGCACAAACAACTGAAGCACAATGTTAATTTCTTTGTTCTGTGGATAAAACATGTGGACTTTAAAATCATTTCATAAATTTTTATTACCATATTTAGCAGCTTTGGCCTGTGCAGCAGAGACCCCCAAAGTCCCCACACCTATGTACAGAGACAGCAGATCAGCTACTGGTCATGCATTTACAGTGCATGTGTGTGCGTGCTGATTGCAGCCATGGAAAATGACAGTCATTTCAGTATCTTTGCAACTCTTCTATGGTGAATGTCATGAAGTCAAGAGCATGTGTGGGTTTTATTTCACCACACAATCTGACTACATAAATAAGAAATTATATTTTTAACATTGGGGACATTTTGCATTGGGACATTATTTTTGTGAGAATTAATTAAAGATATATAGAGTATATCCCATTACACACACACACATACACACACAATATATATATATAAACGCGATAAACGCCATTTAAAAAAAATTGAGTTTCCGCCGAAATCAATATCGTGTATGGTCGGTATTGAAAAGTTCATTTTTAATTTTACGCAAAATGCGATATCCACCGAGTTATTCTGTCATGTTTTCTCCCTTTCTTTCCAAACCGCGACAAACGCCAGTCTCCCTTCTCTGCAGAATGCGATATATCCGCTCAACCAATTACAGCGCACCATTCCACGCACTCTAGACAGTAATGGCGGTGCTTTGAATACAGCCGGCATCCTAGTTTTCCTCATCTACTTTGTACTTTGTGATCAACAAACAAACTTAGGGCTGCACGATAAATCGCATGTGATTGTCATGCGCGTTCTGTAATTAATAGTAAATCTCCACCACGTGCTTTCAGATGGATACACAGAGCCATAGATCACTGACTATGCAATATCGCATTCATAATCACAGATGAGTCGCATTCGATTATGAACGCGATATTGCGTAGCTTGTCAGTGTAAGTGTTTATTATTGCCATTTATGTTTTTGGTAATACAGCGTATAGCACTAGTTAACTAAATGAATGTAACATGGCAAAGATGAATGCACTTTTGGAAGTTGAATGTAAGGGAAATGTCATTTTGGAATTTCTGTGGTCTAATGTGATATTGTTGTTCATGTATGTTCATGATGAAATTTTCTTTTATTGTTGTAATTAATTTATAGCATTAACAAGATGACCCATTGAATTCATTTTGGGAGCGATGACTGATTGAATGTATTTTAG